TTTTCACCCAAAGGAAACTTGTGGTTTCATGAGGATCAGGCCTCGTTACAGGGTGTTTGACCTCGTGGGCAAGCATATTTAACATTCGCTAGATATGACCATTTAACTTCTAAGTACATCTCCCAGTCTGTGCTTCAAGTTTTGATAAATAGATATGGACTTTCTGTTGTTTGCCATTTAAATTACCTTTCTCCTGATAACTTTGACCCTCAAATGGGATGGGGAAAGTGAAACAAATCAACAAACAAAAACACCTCTTCCTAGAACACAAAGAGAGAACCAATATGTAAAAAGAAGCACAGTCTTTTACATAAGGTCTTTATCAGATTAATAGCCTTCAATTTGTTACCTTCACAATTCCTTATGTGGTTTCTTTTTGGATGACTTTTGTCCATTTGTGCTTGTTTTGTGTTTTGTTTTTTTGCGCTACGTGGGCCTCTCACTGCTGTGGCCTCTCCCGTTGCGGAGCACAGGCTCCGGACGCGCAGGCTCAGCGGCCATGGCTCACGGGTCCAGCCGCTCCGCGGCACGTGGGATCTTCCCGGACCAGGGCACGAACCCGCGTCCCCTGCATCGGCAGGCGGACTCTCAACCACTGCTCCACCAGGGAAGCCCTGTTTTTAAAAAAGAAACAAAAGTGCAGAAAAATCCCCTTGGAAATAAATATGGGTATGTTGCTGCAAATGGCATGTCTGTAAGAGTACTGACATCACCTAGCTTCTGCGTCCTAAGGGTAATAAGTGATATGCCTCTGACATGAAATACGTTTGCACCATAAAACCTTAGAGGCTTAAAAATGCTTTACTTGATGAGGTCTTTTAAAATCACTTGGGAAAGGGAAAAGTGCTTTTTAGTTGAGTATTGCTTACTATATTTGTCAGCTGCTCTGTGGGCATGAGATGGTAAATAGTTGTCTAACTTGGAAATATCTCACCTTTTAAAAATACTGCTTGGATGACAGTTTTATGCAGTTATTTCCCATGCCTTCACAATGGGGAAAGATTTTCATGTTAGTTTTCTTGTGTCTTCAGTTTAGAAAAAATACATAATAACGATTTATCATGTTCTTAATTTGTAGAAACTATAAGATCATTTATTTCTTTTCATCTAACTCACTTTTGTCGTCTCATAATACTCTTAACTGTCTATTAGAGTGGAGGAAAATATGTGCCTATTCTGCCTTCTATTTAAAGGTGCTGATAAATCCATGTGTTTTGTCACATTTCCCAAACGGTACATGTTGAGAGATGATAGAATTTCACGGGCAGAGGATACCCCTTATGGAGATTTCATATATTTCTTGCTAGGTGTATATGAAATTGTTTNTTATGGAGATTTCATATATTTCTTGCTAGGTGTATATGAAATTGTTTCCCCTTTTGACTTCCTTATTAATTTTTGGCTTTATTTTGTACCCACCCTCTCCCCAATCTAGATAGGTCTCCTTTTGGCTTCCTTGACACTTTTTCCTCCTAAGCCCTCTTTTTTTTAGATTGTTTTTCTCTCTTTAATCGTTGCAATTTTGTGTTCCTTCTCTTCTCTGGTTGTATCACAAGGCTCATTCTGAACCTTCTCTGTGTATTCCCTTAGGCGGTTTATCTTCTAAGCACAGTTACCACTGATACATTCTGTTAAATACGCCCTGCTCTTAGCACAGCACCCCCGCGTTACTCTGCTCATTTCACCTGAGGCGGGTATGTGACTTTCTTCCCAAGTTCACTTCTGTAACTCTGACTGCCAGTCCCTTTTCCTTAGCTGTCTGTTGGACTTCCCTACTTGTTTTTCTCACTTGAAACTTAACAGAATTGAAAGCAGCATATTATTTTCCCTATCGTCCCTCCAGATTCCTCTTATAAGGAGCAACACTAGTCTTTCGCTTCTTCGTTTTTGTTTTTTCTGAGTTTGATTCTTCATTCTTCTTTGTTCAAGTGTTGTCAGAACCTACCTAGGGTTTTCGTTTTTTAAGAAAGCATTTGTTTATTAATGGAATTTTTATAGTGGTTTTTTAGTTTTTAAAAAATTATATAAATCTTAGGAAACATACAAGATAGAATGGTATAACAAACACGTTTACTCATCACTCAGTTTCAACAGTAATCAGTATTTTGCCAATCTTGTTTCATTCATCATCCCCACAGATTTTTTTTTGAGGGAGCTGGAGTATTTTAAATTAAATGCCAGACCTCATATCACTTCACCAATGAGTACTTTACTTGGTATCTCTCAAAGATAAGGACTTTAAAAAAAAATCACAATATATTATCAAGCCAAAATTAGGGGTAATTCCTTAACATTCAATAAAACTGAAATACTTTCAGATATTTTTCAATTGTCATTCTCTGTTCTACTTTAAAGTTTATCTAAGATTGGTTTTACTTTTTTTTGGCGGTACGTGGGCCTCTCACTGTTGTGGCCTCTCCCGTTGGCGGAGCACAGGCTCCGGACGCGCAGGCTCAGCGGCCATGGCTCACGGGCCCAGCCTCTCCACGGCATGTGGGATCTTCCCAGACCGGGGCACGAACCTGTGTCCCCTGCATCGGCAGGTGGACTCTCAACCACTGCGCCACCAGGGAAGCCCTGGTTTTACTTTTTGCTTAAACGTTTGGAATAATTCACAGTGAAGCTGTCCGAGCCTGAAATTTTCATTGTTTTTTTTCACTTTTTAAATTAATATGTCATTTATAATAATCTTAGTATTAGCGCACTAATCTTTAGTGTATAGCTCAATAGATTTTTACGTGTGCATATACTCATACAACCGCCACTCTGATCAGATATAGGATATTTCCAGCACCCCAGAAGACTCCTCATGCCATTTTGCTGTTATAGCCACCCTCCAGAGATAACCACTGTTTTGATTTCTATCACTGTAGATTAGTTTTGCCTCTTCTTGAACATCATGTAAATGGAACCATACAGCATTTGCTCTTCTGTTTCTAGCTTTTTTGCACAGTATAATATCTGAGACTACCCTAATGCCGTGTTATCAGTTGTGCGTTCCTATTTATTAGTGCATAGTATCCCATTGCCTGCATATGCCACAATTTATTTATATCTGCTGTTGATGTATCTTTGGGTTGTTTCCAATTTGGGGCTCTTATGGAGAAAGCTGCTGCGAATATTCGTATATATTTCTGTTGGTAGACCTATATACTCATTTCTCTTGTGTATACACTTCGTGGAATTGCTGGATTATAGAATAGATATATATTTAGCTATAGGAGATACTGCCAGTTTTCCCAAGTGATTGTACCAGTGCACACTCCTTCCAGAAATGTATAAGAGTTCTAGGTGATCCACATCCTTAGCAGCACTTGGTATTGTCAATCATTTTAATTTTAGCCATTCTGGTTGATTTGTAGTGGTGTCTTATAGTTTTAATTTGCATTTTCCTGATGAGTAAAGATGCAAGTACCTTTTCATGTTTATAGACTGCTAGTATATCTTCTTTTGTGTCATGCCTGATCTTTTCCTTATTTTTTAATGAGTTATCATCTTTGTAGGAATTCTTTATGTAATGATCGAATGATCTGTAGGAATTACATATAATTTGGATACAGGTCTTTTGTCAGATGGATATTTTGCAAACTTCTCCCAGTCTGTGGAGAATACCTTTTCTCACTCTCTCTTAATGGTGTCATTTGAAGAAGAAATGTTCTTAATTTTAATGAAGTCCAGCTCATCACTTTTTTTCTTTTATGGTTAGAGTTTTTTTTCTTTTTCTTTTTCTTTTTTTTTTTTTTTTTTTTTTTTTTTTTTTTTGCGGTACGCAGGCCTCTCACTGTTGTGGCCTCTCCCGTTGCGGAGCACAGACTCCGGACGCGCGGGCTCAGCGGCCATGGCTCACGGGCCCAGCAGCTCCGTGGCATGTGGGATCCTCCCAGACCGGGACGCAAACCCGTGTCCCCTGCATCGGCAGGCAGACTCTCAACCACTGCGCCACCAGGGAAGCCCTGGTTAGGGCTTTTTGTAGAAACTTTTGTCTTCTCCAAGGCCATGGAAATCCTCTTGGTTTTCCCCTTCACATTTATGTCTGATTTATCTCTAATTTTTGTTTATGTTGTGAGGTGTAGGAGTCAAGGCTCATTTTTGTCTCACGCAGCTATTCAGTTGACCCAGCACCATCTATTAAGATCATTTCCCCCTGCCTAGTCCATTTAACATCTCTTGGAACTCACCACTTCGTTTTTATTTTTACAGTGTTGTAGCAGTAACGGTTTAGGTCACTCTTAGCTCATCTTCATGTCCATTCTCCCAACTTCAGTCCATTATACACACAGCTGCTTGGGTAATGTTCCTCTAACTGTTAATTTTAGTTCTTTGTTAAACAAATAAAAGTGATTGTGCATTGCCTATCATATAAAAATTAACTCTCCAGACCTTTTTTCAGAATTGTATTTCCCTCATCTTCACTTCCCCCAAATCTTACCAATTATAGTGTCTGCTCCTGCCAGTATAATTTTTTCACCACCCCTCAAGTCAAATTGTTCATTTCTGTGCCTTTGCACAAGCTATCCTTTCTTTTTCTGAAGGTCTCTCCCTGGTAGTTCCTCATAACTATGCTGTTTTTGAAAATCTAGCCATAAAACCATTCTCAGAATCTTTTGGGATCAGCCCCACCTGGTTCTGTTTTGCTTCTCATCTATATCCTGTCAGTGTGCAGACACACAATACTCATTTCTGCTTTTACACGGTGAGTGTGCTTTTCACTTGTTCTGTGAATGCTGGTTTTTTATTTGTTTGAGTATAAGTTATTTGAGGACAGGAAATATATTTCCTTTTTTTTTAAAAAAATAAAAGATGTATTTTCCCAGAGTTCTCATTACAGTGTTCCCTTATAGAGTAGGTGCTCAATTAAAATTGACTGACTGATGAAGTTATATAGTATAAGAGTTTTTTCCCCCTCCCGTTTTTGTATATCTGACCTTCACCCATTGCCTTGTTACTATGTCCCAGGTGAAACTGACTTTTCTCTTTTCCCCTCTTTCTGTGTGTGACTTGCAGCACTGATGCGGGTGACAGCCCTGTTGGCACCACCACTGCCACCAACCTGGAACAGCCTCAGGTTATCCCCTCTCAAGGTGACCTTCTGGGGGATCTTTTAAACCTTGACCTTGGTCCCCCAGTCAATGTGCCACAGGTATCCTCCATGCAGATGGGAGCAGTGGATCTCTTGGGAGGAGGACTAGATAGTCTGGTAAGCATCTTTCTTCTTTCTTTTGGTTATTTAAATTCTTTTTATTTTTGAATTTCTGGGGTTATTTTTAATTCTTGATATGCTGAAGAACTTTAAATTATTCCGCTTTTTAGAACTAGACCTTTCCTTGATGAGCAGAGCAATGTCCTTTGATAAAGGACAGGATTATTTTTTCTAGAGATTTAATTGATACTGTTCATCATTGGTATGGGATATGTCTACAAGTGTACATGATTATTTTGTTGTCCTGCCTCTGAATGGAACTTTTGATGTTTAACCAACCTAGTCACCTTTCCAGAGCTTATTGTTGCTCCTGCTGCTTAACTCTGGATAGCCCCTGTAATTCCCCTTCTGACCTGAACATCATTCAGATGACCTCATAGTGATCATCCTATTTTGAGGCTTTCAAACTTTTGCCTTTTTTGTATTTTGTTGGCTTATGCCTTGTCTAATTCCAAAAGGTTCATTGGAGCCATTTGTGTTTTTATTTTAAATGTATCTTACTTATAGTTGAGAAGTACTTCTTGATTGGTTCTTTTTTCCCCTTTTCCATCCACACCCCCCCACTCCACCCTGTCATACTTCCAATTTAATTAGCTTCCAGGATTCTAATACTAAAAGGCTCCAATGTCCAGAGTATCTGTGAATATGTGCCACCAGTGGAAGCCAATTAGTTACTGTTGCTGTAAAAGATAAATGAGAAATATTAAGGATGACGTTCCATCTGTGTATAGAAGGCCAGAAAAATAGCAGGTCTCATCACACGGCTCCCTGCAAATTAGATGCTTAACTGTGGTGGAATTAAGAGGGGCTTTTTTAGCTGAACACTTGAAAATAAGTTGTTCATCAACCTGATGACTATAAATATGCCCAACAAACTGATTTATTTCCCAGCATCAGAAATTGGAAGGCAATGCCATAGATACAAAAATATATGTTCTCAGAGATTACATAAACAAAACGACCTTACTTCCTGCTTCATACACTGGCATTTTCTCTTCTACTTTACGAGCAGTATTATGTCTGGGATTTATGCCAGCTGGTACAGGTACATTTACTTTTGGCTGACAGAGAGCCTGAGGAGATAGGGTTACCATCATATCTTTGTGGGTGATGCGTTTTACTAATGGAAGTCACTGCTTCCAGAGTCTATACACTGGCCAAGCTCTGGACTCTAGCTGATGGTGACACAAATGAGCACTGCTTTTGTCTTCCTTGGGAATAAAAGCATTTGCTTTTCATTTTCATATCTCTAATGAATAGAGTTGACTGAATAGCTTCCTCGTGTGATATCCTGCGTTGCTATATAACCTCCTTAATAGACTCAGGAGACTGACAAATGAATATTGAAATATTCATGGAGACTCTCAGAAATCCCTTATAAACACTGAAATAGCTCATCCTATTCTGTTGACACATGAGCTACAAGTTAAATGTTACATCCTCCCCACGGTTATGCCTTACCAACCCTGCTTATTTCCCTAGTGGTTTACGACATAGTGGACTTGCTGAACCTAAGAAGACAAAGAAATTAAGTTTGAAGGATGGAGGGGAGAAAGAGGCTCTATATTTTGATGTTGACTGGCCCAGGATTCTGTCGTCTTGTTTCTTAACCCACTTTAGCATGGAAGGGAAAGAAACATGTTATTTCCATTTGGCTTTGTATCAGCTCTTGCTGGCCCTTAAAACTAGTGAGTTTTCTCCTTATA